GGGTCAATGGGGGGAAAAGGCAGCATATGTAATACTTTCAACAATAAAGATTTAATTAAAAAGTAAAATCCATCAAACCAAAAAAATGAAAAGAGGAAGCTGCAGTATAATGACTAGTGTAGTACTGAATGCTAGGAGACATGAAATTGTAGTTCAGAGGGGAAGAAACATAAACTGAAATTTATGCCAGCAAAATTTCCTTTTAAGTATGCAAGAAAACACTAATTTATTAAATTTGAAAGAAATCAAGGGATACTGAGCACATAAAAGCACTTCACACACAAAAAATTAGCAGTGAAATTTAGACACCTAAATAGTGAAGCGACTTAAAGAATTCAGGAATGTATAAACTTCAGGAAGAAGAAGCCTTGAATCCATTTAAATATGGACCTAAAATCAAACAACTGTGGAAATTATGCTTGTACTGTAACAGGTAAAAGTTACAAACACTGACACGGTAAAAAGAATAATAATAAAAAAAAATTCAAGAGGAAGGAGGTATCATTTCCTCATCCTTAAGTTTGAAGCTTATGGTTATAAAACAACATAAGGACACAAAGAAATCCATTTGAAAAATGAAAACTTTTTTTCTCTTTCCATTTCTCAGAATATTGAATGTTTTGGAAGTAATAGCTCCCTTCAAGCACTTTAACAAGCTTAGAGAATTTGTTCAAATGAAGCTTCCTCCAGGCTTTCCTGTAAAACTAGGTAAGAGAAAAATTGCTTATAATTTCTATGTCTACTAGAAATATGGTATTGTTTACTAACATTTAGTAAAAATATGATTTGAAGGAAAATGGATTTCTAAGTTTTGCTAAAAAATTTTAAAGTTTTTCTGTAATTAAATGCTTTGATATTCATCCTTTGTCAAATATATAAAGTGCCTGATTATAGTTTTAATTCTACTAGATTTCTTTCTTTTCTTTTTTAAAAAAATATTTTTTTCTTGATTTCAGAGAGGAAGGGAGAGGGAGAGAGAGAGCTAGAAACATCAGTGATGAGAGAGAATCATTGATCGGCTGCCTCCTGCGTGCCCCACACTGGGATTCGAGTCTGCAACTGGTTATGTAGTTTGATCGGGAATTGAACACTGACCTCCTGATTCGTAGGTTGTTGCTCAACCACTGAGTCATGCTGGTTGGGCCTAATTCTACTTTATTTAAATTAAATGTATGGGATATGCAAATACTTCATACAAGAGGGTGTGGGTGAACTTATGATGCACTGTGATAATGAGTTTCTGAACAGTGGGAATGTTTCTGGAGTCACTATTTACACATAAAGTAATAATCATACATTCTATTTTCAAATATTTATTTTTTTGGTAATCCTCACCCAAGGATATTTTTCCATTGATTATTTCTAGAGAGAATGGAAGGGAGGGGGAAGAGAGAGAGAAACATCTATGTGAGAGAGACATCGATTGGTTGCTTCCAGCACAAGCCCTGACCAGGTCAGGGATGGAGCCTGCAACTGAGGCATGTGCCCTTTACCGGAATCAAACCTAGGACCCTTCAGTCCATGGGCTGATGCTCTATCCACTGAGCCAAACCAGCTAGGGTTATTTTCTTTCTTTTTTTTTTTTTTTTTCTGAAAACAACTTTTATTTAAATAAGGGTTTAAATACATAACATAACATCAAAACTGAAGTAGGGAAAAAAGAACACCCCAAAAATCTTTTTTTTTTTTTTTTTTTTTTACTTCACATGGCATTGGGCAGCTGTTGCTAGGAAGTTGCAAGCTCTATAGCTAGCTACATGACTGACACTTCAGTTTGAAATTTGTTCCCTTGTCAAAAGTTTAACTCTGATAAGAAGGTTGGCCTCAAATTACGGTGTTTGGACAACAATTAGCTAGGATCTGTCTGGTCACAAAGACCTTGGTGGCAAGCCAGAAGTCCTTACACCTCACTGGAGGGAAGGTGGCAGGCTGCTTGCTCTAAGCTCCATCACCTGGTCAGGTGTAGATCTGTGATTACGGAAAGCTCCCTCTAGTGGTACATATGCCGCTGGTGCCTTACCCCTCTCCTCTCAGCTTCACCGAAGGCTGCTCAGGCGGTGACATTCTCTGAGGGCAGGGAACTCTGGTGAGGAGCTTTGGCCAGACATGGGCTTGGCTGAAACATCATGGTGTTGCTCCGTTTCAGGCTGGACATTGCCAGGCGCCTACTGCTTGACCTCTGTTTAAATGAGGAACTTCAAGACTAGACAGCATGGCTCTTTTCAGTTTATTGCATGAAGGAGTTACACTAGTCCAAGTTAAAAGCAGACCCCAAATGGTTACATTATACAAGCTGTGAGGTTTTTAACTTGTGACAAGGGACAGAAGGGAAATTCTACTCATTGCAAAGAAACCCTCACTTAAGCTTCTGTGAGCCAAAAGCACTTAAAACCCATGAACCTTCAGCTGGTCGTCCTTAGCCAGTCCAATCTTGACGAGGAACTGGCATATGTTCTTGTGCTGGTCACCCTGCAGCTGAATTACTTCTCCATATTCTGGATGCTCAATTACAGTACCATTGCAGGCAAATTTCTTCTTAAAGGCCTTCACTAGTTTCTTTTTATCGTAATCATCAGCGATCCCTTGGACAGTAGTAAGGGTCTTCCTGCCGTTTCTCTGTTGAATTCTTATATGGATATAATCCTCAGTGCCAGCGGGAAGCAGGTCATCACCCTTACTTGCATCAGCAAAGGGGTCGAAAGAGTGGAGGTTCTGGATAGCGGACATACGATACGATTCCTTTTCCTCGGTGGAAACGACCTGCGGAAGGCTGCGGCGGGAGAAGGCGGGCAGGGGGGACGGAGCGTCGGGAAGTGAGGGGGGCTCAAGGGGGAGGTTGCTAAGTCCTCGTCGGCGACTCAGTCACTGGGCTCTATTTTTTTTTTTTAAAGGGGAGAATGTTGATTTTTTTATTTTTTTAGAATATATTTTATTGATTTTTTACAGAGAGGAAGGGAGAGGGATAGAGAGTTAGAAACATCGATGAGAGAGAAACATCGATCAGCTGCCTCCTGCACATTCCCTACTGGGGATGTGCCCGCAACCAAGGTACATGCCCTTGACCGGAATCGAACCTGGGACCCTTGAATCCACAGGCCAACGCTCTATCCACTGAGCCAAACTGGTTAGGGCTGGCTAGGGTTATTTTCAAATATTTAAACTTAATTTTATCATAATGATCTTTAACAATAGTAAAATCTCATATTTAACTTCTTAACTATATCAGAAAACTGGAAACAAGAGACTTAGAAGTTTCTTTTGGAGTTTAGGCTTGTATTTAGCATACATTTAAGCTTCAGGAGAAATTTAACTCCCTTCTCTACTGACTTTAGGCTTTGTTTAGGAGAGTCTTCAGTACCATCCATCAATTCAGACATCAAATGTTGAACCAGTGCTTGTTACTTGCCAGATGCTTTTCTAGGGTGAGAGTTAGTAAAAGTCCCTGCCCTCTAGGTGTTTACATTCTAGTGGGGGAGAAAAATAAACATATAGTGAATATAACCTTGATATAATTCCTCAGATCTATTTTATCTTGCTTCGATCAGTATTACTGAAACCACACTTTACTGTGCTTATTGATACTCATATTATTACTGGAGTCCCGGTGCATGAAATTCGTGCACTGGGGGGGGGGGGGGGGG